ATTTATTCCTGCTGCCTACAATTACCCACAACCATATATTTTTAAATATTTCCAGCCTATAAAAATTACTAATTTTTGCCACTTGTGTTTATCTGCATTTAGACTTTGATTTGGATAAATTAAGCTCTCAAATGTTCCTTGCTTTATGAAACTCTGCATGTTGTACACTTCAACACAAATAAATGACTTGTACCATTAGAGGTTTAAATAATGTAATGTATTTCATGCTCAGCCTGAAGCTGGATTCCAATGAAGTTGCTAATGCACGTAATGATTAAGTGTAACTCAAATACTAACTGTGTTGTTGAAAACATGACAGGCAATAATTTGGTCTATTATATTCTGCCATTTAATTGCCTAGTACAGACATTCTCTGACACGTTATGAAGCAATGATTTACAATTATTCAAGCTGCAAAGGTCAGAAAGTGACATTATAATCATCTACATAGAGATCCCTTCTAATGCACAAAAACTAGGTAATGCCACACATGCAAAAAAAAAAAAAAAACAGAGTTTTACTGCATTAGTAACTTTCTGTTTAAGGTTACTTAAGCCAGCTTAGAATAAACAGTTCATAAGCACACTAATACACAATAGAAAATGTCTAGAATCTTTTCATGAACCCAGAGGTGACAGATTTAGAAAATGCTCTTATTCTCTCCCGATTAGGTAATTCTACTCAACTATTTAACTCTATACACAAGATTCAAGACGAGACGTAAGAAAATCAATCAGAAAATACCATAATCCATAAATCATGCATACCAGGGTTTTGTAAATTATGTCATACAAAGTTAGGTGTATTTCCTAGGTTTACTGAATTGACTAGTTTTCTACTAACTCTTTTTTATTTAGTAACCAGTAATGAAAAACAATAACTCAGGTTGATCGATTTTACCCCTCTTATCCTAATGAAAAGATAATAAAATATTCACTTTTTTAGGCACTTTTCTCTATTATACCAATGTGTTTAACTTTTAACCACTCAAGTGCAATAAATTATCAACACATAAAAAACTGGGAAAAATAAAAAATTTTAAAACAGCAGTTTAATATGAGAAAAGTGAAATAGAGAGATACAAATAAGAGAGACTGAATAACATATTATTAAAGTAAAACACTGTACAAGCAATTTTTTAAAAGAAGATAAGTTTGAGCAAAAGCAGGAAATAAGAGTGGTTAGGGGCTGAAAGGAGATAAGCTGCAGCTATTACATGCTAGTGAAAACAACCTAGAGAGAAAAAACAAGTACAAATAAAAGACAGCAATCAAAATAACAAATATTACAAAAAGCAGAGAAATAAGGAAAATGGAAGTTAAAGGAAGAAAACAGTGGTCTACCATTACTACTCCATAACTTAAGTCCATTACTAAAAATACTCTTAATCTCAAGTTTATCATCTGTACAGTGGGGATAAGAAACATGAGATAAACAATCTCATGAAACTATAGAGATCAACAAATAAATATTACTTAAGGCACCCACTAAACCACAGCACTCCATAAATACTATTTATTAGAGTATTATACATACTATTATATGTACACACAGAGAGACACTATTAAATAAATTTAAGTAAATTTAACAAAACACGGTATCTATAACGACTTTTTTGAGCCACTGAGATTTTCAAGTTCTTGACTACTGAAAATAGGCAAAGTTAAAGATCATGGATTTAGTAAAAATATGTGTTTAACCTGTTCTTAAACATATGCCCCTCCAAAAAAATTTTTAACTTATGTATACAAATGCTTTCCATTACTTGCTATTTTCCCCCCCCCACTAAACCCCTCTATCACACCCATAGCCATTTCCATGTTAACTATCCATCAAGTATATATAAATACATCTGTATTCTATAAAAGTCCTCAAGTTCACACTCAGATATAAGAAACACATTAAGAAGGTGTATTATTCAAAAACTGTTCCTCGTAAAAGTAAAATAAAAGGCTTGTAAATAAAGTTATCTATAACATGTTCTTAAAACAGGAGTTCAAAACAATACATTTTTTTAATTTTTACCATGCTGTGAGCATGTAAACCACATGGGTAAACAAAACTTAAATCCCAAGTTCTGAATCCAGCTACCCAGTAGGAATTAGACTGCGAAGACATTCAGCTTCTCTTTCAAACTACCTTAAATCCATGACAGATTGTAGCTAAGATTTGCTGAGAAGGGATAAGAGATTATCTTAAAATTCAACTTAAAGAATCAAAGAAAATCAGTGTAGATTTTAAAAACTGAAATGGAAGTTTAAAAGGTAGCTTTTGTTAAGAGAGTAGCTAATACACAATCTTAAACTAAGCCTCAGAAAAAAATATCAGCTATATATTTGATGAGCGTCGTCAAGGTTCAAATAAAAGACACATAAAGATATGATAAAGAACTCAATCACAAATAATCCGAAACATTAATACTGAGCTCGAGTCAACAAAATCCACTATTATTTCCATTAATTTCACCATAAAATACTAGGTTTTGTTTTGTGTAGCTTTTTCCAAGAAAACCAACAGGTCAATAAAAAAAGTAATAATAAATGTATTGCCTGCCCCACTATTCTTATATAGTATCATGCAATCAAAATTATTTGAAAACATTTTTTCTGTCAACTAAAATAATGAAGAGGTTATTAATAAAGTTATAAAAAAAAACATACACTAAGACACTAATTACTGCAGAAAAGAAAACACAGTGCAGGACCTTCTGTTTGTGACAAAATTATACTGTTAATGTTCCTGAAAGATCACTTCACCTTTTAAAGCATGATTTTTTTTTAAAGTAAAATTTATAGCAATTAAAGCTAATGAAGAAATGCAGCATGAGTTGCTTATGTTCAGGAACTAATAGGTCCACGGAGCAGCTCTAAGATTATTTAGCCATCAATGATAATGAATTGACATTGTCAGTGATGTTAATGTACCAATGCTCTCTACTGCCACTAATCTGGTAGCCAACTCTTAGATTTTTTTTTATGTTTTCCACTTTAATGTTTAACTTACATACTGCCCTATCCCTTTGAAACACATGAACAACTTATGAGACACTAACATTGAAGGGTATTTAACTCACTATTTTTCTACTCCAACAACATAGATCAATAGGCATTTTTTAGTTTACTTCAATTCTTCAGAATGATTAGCTGCATTGTGAAAATATCTATACTGTAAAATTATTATGTAACTTTTAAATTAAATTTCATTTCTAAAATAAATAAGAGATCTATCATTTCATGGTCAAATACAATTCAATGACTACCATAATTCTAAGAGATACAATTTTGGAATCTAGATCGCTTTTCCTATGCACACACATATATGTAGAACTCTACGATAGCAGTATAAAACTCAAATATCTACATGCATTTTCAATTCTTTATCTTGGGCATCAAATATATAAACCGCTAGTGCAACATTTCAATTGTATGTGGTAAGCATTGAGCTAAGCAAAGTGTGCATTATTCAAATTATACAAGCAAAGCCAATCAATCATGTATCGTTTTTGATGCTACATGTGTTAAAAACTGTTCTCTGAAAAAGTTTCTTCTTCCTTTTCCAGGGTCTTAGTAACCCTAATAAAAATGATGGAATTAGATTTCTAATAACAGTAGTATGCAAAAATTATTTGTTTTGTGGAAATGAATGAGGAAGAAACTGCTTATGGTCATCTGACAGCAAATTTTCGTTGAAGTCAGGGCCTTCCTCTTTCCTATAACTCATATGGTAAAAACAATAAATGAGATATCTTTTTTAATTTCAAGACCTAGAGCAATTAAAATGAACCATTTGGTGCTCGACCCTTGCAGCTAAAATCAGTAGCAACAAAACTCATTCTGCACTGATCTTCAGGGGGCTTTAGGGCAAAAGTTCGTCTTCATTTACTTTAGCTGCAAGTCACTGAACCATCAATTCTGTCCATGAATAAATCACAGACCATGGTTAATAAAAGTGCTTGCAAAGTCATTTTTAAAGTTATCTTAAGAGTCAAAAAATACAATGGCATCTTGGGATGAAGTGTAGTATCCAAGAAAAACCAGGTATTTATGACTTAAAAGTCATTTATATTTACACAATAGTGCCAACCAGAGGAATTTTCAAATTAAAAAATAACCCTAATATAACATGAGCACATTGCATAATTTAATTGAACCTAAATTATTTTGTGAATTAGACATAAGAATTGCAGGTTTCTGAGGTTTCACATAGAAAGTGTTTTTATGTGATACACTTATTAATTCATTTCTCTGGCATAATAACATTAAAACATATCTTTAATCAGAAGTAGGGTATTAAGATCCAGCTCTGAATGTCCTATGACATACCATAGACACCATGGTATGTCATGGCATTTTAAAACATTTTACAACATCTCAGTGCTTCCTATTAAATGTAACACATTTGAGTGACAACTAAAGATTGTGAATGATTCATCAGAAGAAAAACCCATTAACCAAAAAAGGAAAACAAGTTTTGAAATAAAGTTACATGAAAACATACATTATACACTGTTTTTTAAAGGTTCCTCCCTGCAATAATAGTAACCAGTTGTCCGAAATTAGGTCCTTTTCTGCTTTTTTCCTTATAGAATATGTCCAATGGATCCAAAGAGCCACTAATGTGATTAAAATTAAAGCAGCAAAGCAAAAGTAAAAAAACATACATATACACTCCTAAAGCTATATTATGCATTTTTTATGTCTTTAAATGGAATTTCCAGTTCTCTCTGCCAAAGTGAATGAACATCCTATAATTTAGTCAATTTACAGATTACAGGTTCAAATTGACCTTGTAGCCCATAAAATTGCTCATCTTCAGTACAGGATTAGAAGTGGAGAAGAATGTCATAACTGTATTTAAGGAATTTATCATAACAATGGGAAGGGGGATATGCATGCGTAATTTTAGCCCCTCTTACTCTTATCAGTTCTGAATTCTGAAACAATGGATATCCTGCACATGCTTCCTGGTTCACACAGTGGAAACGGTTTCAATTTACTCACCCACACACATGACACTTGTATTCCCTCATCCCAAGGTGCCTTTTGACATGGTTTCTGGCATCGCCAAGCTGAGCTGTTGCGAAATGGCAGATCTTGCACTTGAATGGTTTTGATCCTAAGTAAATTTAACATAAAATATTATTTGAATTTGAATAATACTGTACTGACACTTTTAAAAGAGGCTTAGACCTTAAATCATACTTTCAATCTAATTAGAAATTTCTGTCCCAAAAATGGAGCACTTGCATTCCTTTCTAACTTGAAATGACCTGCATTCCATAATTATTCCACCAAGGAGACTTGAATGCTTCAATGAGTGTCCCTAATTTTCAATAATATTTCTAAGATTTAAAGTCAAAAGTGACTCAGGTGACTAGTATCAAGTAGATGAGATAAATAATTTTAAATATTTTCCTTACAATTCACAAAAGTATCTTTTACAGTCACTCCACATTTAAAATGCGACATTTTAAAAATATAAATGCATACGGAGTAGCTGATATTTTCAAGTATATTTGTCATCAAGTAAATAAACTTCTGCAGCTTTAAATTTATTCACATTAATAATGGTATTTTAGATATTTTTTACATTTATTCCCAAAGAGTCACTATATTACTATTTTAACAGCATAGAATTTAAGAATATGCAATGGATAAATTATTTGCTTTTATGGCCATTTTATAGTCAAAAATCTGTACTGATTCTGCAAACCAAAAGTACTGACATGTTAGTTATTATTAATTTCAAGAGCAAATATTTCAACATAAAAACAGAGTACCAACAATTTTTTTTATTTCATAAAGAAATAAAATTAATCTATATTCAATGAGAAAACAAAACTATTTCATAGTCAACAAACTTAGTGTCAGTAGCAGACTATACCCAATGTAGTTACAGATAATCAGTATCCACATTAATGAGAAGCTACACTTTTTAAGGTGCAACATATATACACCATTTTCTGATTTTCTAGCCAGTAAATCTTCAAATAAATGAAAATCACAGAAATCACTGTTTAAAGTCAGTGCAATATGTTTCCAGATTTTTCAGTTCATGTTGAGTCCCTATTTGGTGAAACACCTCTTCTAACATGATCAGACAGAATATGAAATATGTGAACTTGAATAAATATACAAAAAGGCTCAAACAAAAAAAATGCAATAAATCAAATTTGATCAATGAACCTTTGTGCAGTGCCCTTGGAAAAAAAAATCCTCCAAGAATACTTTGTTGAAATTGAAGCACTCAGTAAAAAATTTTAGAGTCTTAAATTTCAATTTAATTCCCAAAAGCTGACAAAAAAAGTGAAGCATTTAATTTTAATCTTCTAACAGAAATAAAAAAGTCAACAGTAGTACTAGCACGGGCAGACAAGGTTGAATATTTCACAGTTCAATGACAATGAAGCCAGATCTCTCAATACTTCCATTTCTGCCATTAGAAGTAGATATAAAATATATTTAACACCTGAATGGTTATATCTAGTCAGCTTTATGTGTAAATGTCAAAAGCAGGTTGAGACTGAAGCTTACAACAATCACATTATATCAATCACATTAGAAACTACAGTTTACTTAAATGATTCTGATAAAACTAAGCCTATCACCACTTTGAAACACTTCATCTCAACAAGAACTCTATAAAGGGACTTATAAACGACATAAGTGAAAAGAATCAATTTACCTGTACTTTGGATTAAAATGCATTCAAGATAATAGGTAATTATGAAATTATTAATTTAACAATAACATCAGGACTTCAAACAAAGAGAATAAAGCCCCCTCAACATTTGTATTACAATATAGTGAAAGGATTTAAAATACCTATCTTGTGGATTTAAGCTTTAGTCTTGCTCATCCTGCACTGACATTGTGATGAGCTCCTCCTTGTGTGAACACATGTGCCACAAAGGGCCAGATACAGACCTTCAGTGCTTTCAATGGACTGTACATGGCTCCTTGGCGAGACACTCTAGCTCCTTCAGGTCTCAGTGATTACTGCTAGTGTGTTGACAACACATGAATGAGTTACTGTGTTGACAGCTTTCATGCAGAAATCATGAAGGCTCTGAGTATTTTTCATATCTTATATCCCAAGTAGACTGTGTTAACATCTTTCTGTGCCATTAAAATCCAAACACTAGGGGACCAGAGGTACTACTTTCCTTAATATCAGTCATTACTGACTGTTATGCAAACATGAATGTGACATTAAAATTAAAAAATTAATAAAAATTTAGGTCTTAAAGAATCAAGTCAGACGTATACACCCAGCATCTAATGCCTGTTAACTCTAGCCCAGTGACACGCGAACTCATTTTTTTGATTGATTTTTCTTTGTTAAATGGCATTTAAATACATAAAATAAATATCAAAAATATAAATCTTTGTTTTACTATGGTTTCAAATATCAAAAAATTTCTATATGTGACACGGCACCAGAGTTAAGTTAGGGTTTTTCAAAATGCTGACACGCCGAGCTCAAAAGGTTCGCCATCATTGCTCTAGCCTGAATGCTACAATCCTCCCTATACACTGGCACTTCATTACTTCATTCACGCAACTGTCCATCTACTTATTCACTTCTCCAACAGTAACGTTGAGAGCCAGCTGTGTGCAGGGCACAGAGATGAAGCAGTGAACAGAATCACACCCATGCTCTCACTCTGCTTACCTCCTACAGACCAACTCTCCTGAACCATCTCTTCTTAAGCCAACTCAACCTCTCAAAACCATCACATAATTAGTTACAGACACCACCAGCCCTGGCTTGGGAATTTTTCAGTGAAGTCATACAACTCCCTGGTTCCCCACATGTGAACACTTCTAGACAGCACGAGTGACCAGTACACTCGAACAAAATGAAGGCTTGCAGTATTCTAGCTTAAAGACACCTTCCCTGTTACAGGAAATTAAAGCTCTAACAGAATGATGCAGGAGAGAAGAGGACCAGGGTTTTGTACCACTCATGTAATAGGAAAGGAGACCCTGCTCTTTCTGCTCATGGGGTGGCTTCAGACAGCAAACACCCTGGAAGCTCTGCAATGCTTTTTCCCTATAATTCTGGATGACCAACTCATTTATTTCTTATAGTGCTGCTTTCATCGTACTGAGGATGGGAAGGAAAGGTTACATAAAACATATAGTAAATCACAAAGTATAAAAACAAGGATTGGAAGAGTAAGCCCTTTTCCAGTTAACCATTAATAACAGTCCCTGCATTACTATTTCATGGACATAAGCAACAGATCAAAAAAGCAATTCATTCTAAGAGGCGCCAAGAAAAAAACTTGGGAGTGAAAACCTGGAGAGCAACTTCCCCAAAAAATGCTTTGCAAGACTGAAATGGCAGACAGGCATTGTGTCCTCAGGATCACGCCTTTGTTGTGCTTCAGAACACAACAAAAATGTGCTTGCTGATAAGCCCAACACAAAATGTTAAAAAGTATGCTAACTTTTACTAAATGTTACAATCAATGATGTAACTTATATAAGTAGGGTTACTTTGTCACATATTGATAGTTACCTCACTTTCACATCCACATTAACTTGATTTTAAATGCAATTAATACATATAGTCAAGGAAGACTAATGGACTACATTCTGCACTTAACCTGGTGGACATTTTCAAATGGCACAAGTGACCAGTGCAAACCTATTTTGCATTGTAAACGACTAAATAAATCTTAATGGATTAAGAATGATCAGCTATCAACACACAAGGGAAATTAAGTGCTGAAATGCCTACATTGATTATTTTAAATTATTAGCCTTACTCTGTTCTTGAATTTGTATGCTTTTAGTGAGCTTTAACACATTTACAAGACTTATTGACTATAATTACAAGAGAATTCAAGTAATGGACACATCAATTATAAGCAACATGTCTTGACCAGACAGTTGCATAAAGAATTCTAAAAAGAGCTCCATTAGCATTTTCCTCTTAGTTTTATTCAGTTTTATCTGCCTTAAGAGGGCATATTAAGAAAGTACATCTTTTCTGTGCACGTGAACAAGCCCAATTTCTAAAACTGTATCATTTCAGAAAGTAAGCTGTAATACAGCATGCACAGAGGTATTAATAATGCCAACAAACCACCACCAGGACTCCACTGCACTGGGAATAGCTGGAATCAAGAGTACAATGCTGATATTCACCTAGAACCTAGAACAACCTTATGCAGGTTTCCCTGATACTTTCTCCAATGAAAAACTTTTATCTATGTTTAATCACCCTAAACTATTAATAATGTTTCATATTCTTTTGTCTTTCTCCTGTGATGATGCAAAAATTTTCAAAAACTGCATGAATTTAAAGTATAGCTTTAATAATAAGCCATTATTTTAAAGTACAGTAAAATAAACCTTACAGTTCTAATGAAAATATGTTCATTAAAATGTGAATTTATTATTCAAATCCACTCATAAATTCAACCATGGAGACAGAACTTGTCTAAGCAGAGCACAATGATTTAGAAAAGCTGTCTATTTTAAATAAAGAATGTATGGCAGGTTTATAGAAACAGTGCAGTGAATTTTTACATAAATTTAGAACATTGGCTTATACATTTATCAGAAAAAAAAAAAAGTTTTTAAAAAATATCTACCTAAAATTAACCACGAAGCAGAGCAGAGACTCACCAGGTTCTACCAGGTCCTGTATCAATGAACACAAACCCCTGAACATACTGACTTTGAAAGCTGTTGACTATTTCTGATCTTTGAAAGTAGAATTCTGTTGCCTGGGAATTATACTTTTGGATATAAACTACCAGGCAATGAATATTTTTAAATCCGTAAAATTGTATGAAAATGTTTATTATCTCATTCCTCAAAAGTCATTTAATATGTCCTCTGAAACAGCGGTCGCCAACCGTTGGTCCGTGGACCCCTGGTGGTCCATGAAGTCCAAAAGGTTGGCGACTGCTGCTCTGAAATAGTGTCACTTAATAGATACCTTGAAAAACCAAACAGTTTGGACCTAAAACATGTGAAAAGCTGTAAGAGACAGGAATGTAACAAAAGCACCAGAGGCACTAGGCCTTTTGATAAAATTGAAAGGTATTTATGAAAGAGCCTGCCTTTGAGATCAATGAGGCCTACAGGCCCTCATAGATGTTAAGTGTCAAAAATGACTGTGGCAGTTGTCCCAAGCACCACCCAGCAGTCATGTGAACCGAGTGAGGGCCAGCAACAACTGCAGCAAGGATTGCATATCGGGTGGGAGGGAATGTCCAGATTTTACCATTCAAGGGCATGTTATAGAGAAGCACAGGTGCCGCGGTTCACATACCTGTATGAGTGCGGATGTGGGCCAGGAATGCCATAGAATTGCTACTGCGACACATCTTGCCACAATACTTGCAGACATTTCCCTGATTCTCCTCTCGCTCTCGGTTGATTTGCTCAGTGTCTTCCACTATGTACTTATTCACCTCCCGGAGCAGTTCCTCATGCTGCCCTTTAATATGCAGAAATAAATTTTGCTCCGAATCAAAGGGCTCTGTACATTTGACACATTTAAAGGTGGCCCCGCCCTCCGGAAGCTCCTCCACGCTGGCCTGTTCATTTCTCATGTGGCCAGCACTAGCCAAGTGCTGATGCAGGTTGCTCTCTGTGTAGAAGGACTTTCCGCACAGCAAACAATGGAAGTGTTTCTCCTTTGTAGGATGCTTCATGGCTATGTGAACATTCAGTCCACTTAACCCATCTGCTAAGAAACCACAGTCATCACAACGGATTCGTGTGGATTCGCCAAAGGAGCTGCCTTCAGATTTCTTCTTTTTCACACCTTGAGCACAGTCTTTTAAGGGTGACTCACTCATTCTCACTTCTGTTGTTATCAGACCCTCTTCACACTGGTCTATCAATTCACCATCTTCCGGATTCCTTATTCTTATTATGGAAGAATCAAACCGGCCAAAGCTATACATGGCCTGTCCTTTATCATCAACATTAATTATAGTTTCATAAACATCATTACTTTCAACCGTGCTATCAGAAGCTGGACCATCCTCTTCTATAACAACTTCAGTTTCATGTTGGGAATTCATCAGAATTTCCTTATTTTCCAAGATAGAATCTCCTTGCATAGCTTTCAAATCCACTGAACTCTGCACATTTCCAACTTGGTCTTGACCACGGCTATCCAGGTTTAGCTGTCCTCCCATCATTCTCATCACTACAGGGATGGTGCTTTCAGCTGAATGGGCTCCATCCAGATCTCCGAGACATCCATGTTTACTGAGGATTTCACCTCCATGGTCTCCTCCATTCCCTCCATCGCTATCACAATGTGCACTTGGATCACTGATGTCATTCAATTTATTGTGATTGTTCTTTGTTGTCTCATAAATTAAAGCTGAACTTCCTGAATTTTCATTCTGAAATTTGCTTGGGGAGCCATTAGAGGAAATGTTAAGGGTCACCACTTCCTCAGGTTTCCTAACTTTGTCCTGGGCAAGGGGCTGTTGCGAAGTTTCACAAAACGAAGGACCTTCACTAAGATTAGATTCTTCTTCAGTCTCAATTTCTATAGAGTCAGGAACACAGAGTACTTTAGACATGTCTAAGTTAGTATTCTCATCTAAAACAGAACGACTAGTAGCATTTGTAGATTTAAGAGTTTCAGGTGATTGGTCTGAAATTATCTGAAATTCTTCAGAATGTTGTCGATGCTGCTCCTCAGGTATGACGACGTTTTTGGACATTTCTGAAGGACTTGCTCCCACGTCAGAAGAGTTCAGGTGAGACTGCCTTTTCACCTTGTGCTTTTCTGTTGCTGCATGCCTGGTCATTTCTCGATGAGTCACAGCATAGTAATCACATGCCATGCAATAAAATGCAAACTCTTTTGTGTGTTTCCGTTTTACATGCAGTTCTAGGGAAGCTGAAGAGTGAGCACTAAACTCGCAGTGTGCACATTTATTGTCACTTGTGCTCAGAGCACCTCTCTGTGAGCATACTTCCCTTTGCTGCATCAGGGCCTCTGGTTCTAGAGATACTTGTTCCTTCTCATCAATAACATGACTGCCAGCTTCCCCATCCGTAGAATGAAATACATTTTCAACTTCAACTTCAATTGGATCTCCGTGCTCTTGTCCTGGTTTTTCTGAACTGGAGGGATCTGGTTCAGCTGACTTATTAGCCTGTTCATCTGAACTGGTGCTCCTACTACAGGCTTCAAGGTTACCCCCCTCAGGGCCAATAATGATATCTGAACTTTGTTTTCCATTTGCTTCTATTTCTACACGTCCTTTATGCTTCTTGGTAGCACAATGACGCTCCATATCTCCCTTAGTTACAGTATAATACTTACACACTTTGCATAAGTAACTATATTGGTGACTATGTTTTCGTCTAATGTGAACGGTCAGATTTGTAATACTAGAAGCCAAGAGGCCACAGTGTGAACATGTCCGTGAGATGTTACCTTTGGGTCTCCCTCTCTTTGGAGTGGTGGTCAAAGCTAACTCATCATCTTTGGAGATTACGCCAGACTGTGGCTGTTCCTTGGCAGTGAGTATGCTCTTCTCCAAAGAGTTACATTCCTGAAATTGCACACCTTCTACGTCGCCTTCTGTCCTCTCATTTCCAGAAATTGTAACCTCTTCTTTTTTGTCATTTGCACCTATACAAACCCTTTCAATACATTCTTCAAAGCTTAAGCCAATATTATTTTTCCTAGCATTTTCAAGATGTTTGCTTCTCTTAATGTGTTTCTCCATTCCTTCTTTGCTCAATGAATAAAGATTACATGCTTTACAAAGAAAGTGGTAGTCCTGACCATGCCTAAGCTTTATGTGTCGTGTGAGAACAGTGGAGGACCGTGTTTTGTAAAAGCACTTCTTACACTGAAATTGAGGTTTATTGGAATGCCTTACTTCACTTCCATGGCTTACCCGGGTTTTAGTCAGTTCTTCCTGAGCCACTCTTTCTGACTCACTCATAGTCTCCTTTGTGTTTTCTGATTCTAAAGTACTTAAAGGTAAAGTCTGTAAAACCAAATCATTGTTAAATGATTGAGAAGTCTTTGGTTGAATCAATAAGCGAATATGCTTCTCAGTTGTCTTGTGTTCCTCCATGTCCTTCTCAGACAAGAAGTACAGATTACAGGGAGAACAGAGAAAGCCCATACTGTGCTTTTCCTTCATGTGGTCTCTAAGATGTGTTTCATTCAAGGAAATAAATGAGCAGCACTGACAACTGAGGACAGAGGCAGTTTGCTGAAGCTGGTGATTGTGCAAATGTTCATGTAGGTCCCTCCTCGACATGCTGGAGAAGTCACATGTCTGGCAGGACAATTTCACCTCTTTTGCATGGCACCTTTTCATGTGGACTTCCAACTCTGTCCTACTTGTAGACACTTGGCCACAGTCTGTACAAGTATATGACATCTGACGGTCAGAAGCTGCCCTCACTGTGGGAGGGTCAAAGTAGCTGACAAGGTGGGCATTTCTTTCATCCTGCTTCAGGTCCAGGGTTTCTGAGGAAGATACACACAGACTGTGGGTACTGCCACCCGTTTCTATGTGTTTAGGCATGGACTCTGAATCACCTGTTTTCATCTGTGCTCTAACGTGTTTCATATATATCCTGGGAGATTCACTAGTGCCCCGTTTATTAATTCCTAAAAGATTAAACCTTTTCTTGGCTTGGCCTTTTAAAGGAAAAGGGCCGCTTCGTCGTCGGAAGCTATTAGCCAACATGAGAATGTTTCGCTCAGGTCTCGGTCTCGAGGTTGCACTGATACTATGTGCTGTCTGTAGAGTCTTTTTGGTAGATTCCAATTTATCTAAGAGACCCTGTGAGGCTACTAATGCTCCTAACTTTTTATTCTGGTTTTCAGGATTTCGAGTTGTACCAAAGGAAGTGACATTTTCTTGAACAATCTCTCCCTTTTCTAGCAAAGTACTCCTGGACGGCCTCATTTCAACAAGAAGCTCACTGCTACTTCCACTCTGCTTAGAAATGCTGCCTCTGAAATCTTTAAATTTGCTTCCACCATTTCTTAGTCCTTTTGAATCGCTATTCTTTGCTATTTGTTTAGATGCTCTTGGTTTTACACGAACATTCTTTGTTCCGATGGTACATGATTTCTTAGGAAAAGGCTGTTTTGTTAAGATCTGCACAAATCCTCCACGAGCAGCAAGATTCTGGCGCCGGAGATGTGTTTTTCCAAGACAATGTGCGTTCAAAAGGTTCTCTTCCACACACTGAAAGCCACAAAGGTCACAAGAAAAGACGGTCCGTGACCCATGTGCTTGTGTGGCATGGGTCTGCAATGCTGGGCTGCTCTCCGCTCCATGGCTGCAGGGGCAGTGGGCAGGCTCCATAGACAGCGGCATGTGACATTCAGCATGCTTCTCCAGGTCCGAGCAAGAAGAAAACAAACGGTCACACGTGTTGCACTTGAAAGCTGAATCAATCTTCCCGATGGTACAACCAACACTAGCAACCTCTTTGCTAGGGAAAGATTTTGTTTCTGGGTCAAGGGATACCATTTCCTGAGCAATCATCTTCTCGGTGTCTGTTTTCAGAGAAACAGTGTCAGTTGGGCTAGAACTGCAGAGAAGGGAAAACGAGGTGGGAGGACATGTATCTCCATCTGAGCAGTCATTCAGGAAGGACGCCTTCACCATTTCACTGGATGGGACCTCCACTTTGGAGAACCCACGAACACCCTGCTCTTCGGACCTACAGGGCTCAGCCTCACTGAATTTCATTCGCTTGGAAGCATGTTTATTTCCATCTTCCTCTACAAAAACGCTGGTTGATGACTCTGAAAAAGCTCTTTTGCTAGCGGAATTCTCAGAGGAATTCACTACCAAATCAGACAAGGGCCTACACTCCACATCCTGAGATGAAACAGTCCTTGAGTCTTCTGCTTCCTTGTTTACATTTTCGTCCTCATCGTTCTCTGGTTTCTTCTCAGTATCCATCATTACTAATGTGCCGACACTGCTCCTCTGCCAGGGTAGCTCACTTGGCACTCATAACCTGTGAGGAAAACAAACATGGTATTAAACCTTTGAACATAAAAAAAGACACACATGTTAATCCAAAAATCAACATAAGGTGAAATACTGGCCGAAACCGGTTTGGCTCAGTGGATAGAGCGTCGGCCTGCGGACTGAAAGGTCCCAGGTTCGATCCTGGTCAAGGGCATGTACCTGGGTTGCGGGCATATCCCCAGTAGGAGATGTGCAGGAGGCAGCTGATCGATGTTTCTCTCTCATCGATGTTTCTAACTATCTCTCTCCCTTCCTCTCTGTAAAAAATCAATAAAATATATTTAAAAAAAAAAAAAAAGAAATTCTGGATGAAAAATATTATAAAATTAGCCTCAATAAGATTTCCTTCATATTGAGATTAATTTGATCACATGACCCTTAATGAAAAATACGAATTAGATTTAGGGAACACCATATCACCACGCTGTGACTCAGGAAGCAACACTATGCTATCTTCCATAGAAAGGAGGATTTTCCATAAAAAGCGTCTTCGCAGACCACGATGGCATAATATTAGAAATAAACTACAATAAAAACAACCCAAAATACTCAAACACCTGGAAGCTGAATAGCATGCTATTAAATATTGATTGGGTTACCAATGAAATCAAAGAAGAAATTCGAAACATCCTGGAAACTAATGACAATGAAAACACAACAATCCAAAACCTATGGGACACAATGAAAGCAGTCCTGAGAGGGAAGTTTATAGCTCTACAGGCCTATCTCAAAAAACAAGAAAAAATGGTAGTAAATCATCTAACTCTACAACTCAAAGAATTAGAAAGAGAGCAACAAGAAAACCCCAGAGTGAGCAGAAGGAAGGAGATAATAAAGATTAGAGCAGAAATAAATGACATAGAGACCAAAAAAACAATACAGAAAATCAATGAAACCAAGAGCTGGTTCTTTGAAAGGATAAACAAGATTGACAAACCTCTAGCCAGACTCACCAAGAAGCAAAGAGAGAGGACCCAAATAAACAAAATCAGAAACGATAGAGGCGAAATAACAACAGACCCCACAGAAATACAAATGATTGTTAAAAAATACTATGGACAGCTCTACTCCAACAAACTAGACAACCTGGAGGAAATGGACAAATTCCTAGAAAAATACAACATTCCAAAACTCAATCAGGAAGAATCTAAAAATCTCAACAGGCCAATAACTATGGAAGAAATTGAAGCAGTCATCAAAAAGCTTCCAGCAAACAAAAGCCCAGGACCAGATGGCTTCACAGGGGAGTTTTACCAAACATTCAAGGAAGAACTAAAACCTATCCTCCTCAGACTACTACAAAAAATTCAAGAGGAAGGAACACTTCCAAGCTCATTCTATGAAGCCAGCATCACCCTAATACCAAAACCAGGTAAAGACAACACAATGAAAGAGAATTACAGGCCAAATCCCTCATGAACATAGATGCCAAAATCCTCAACAAAATCTTAGCAAATCGGATCCAGCAGTACATCAGAAAGATCATACACCATGACCAAGTAGGATTTATCCCAGGGATGCAAGGATGGTACAATATCCGCAAATCAATAAACGTGATACATCACATAAACAAATTGAAAGAAAAAAACCACATGGTCATATCAATTGATGCAGAAAAAGCATTTGACAAAATTCAACACCCATTTTTGATAAAAGCTCTCAGCAAGGTGGGAGTAGAAGGATCATACCTCAACATAATAAAAGCCATATATGACAGGCCCACAGCCAACATCATACTCAATGGACAAAAACTAACACCATTTCCCCTAAGAACAGGAACAAGACAGGGATGCCCCCTCTCACCACTCCTGTTCAACATAGTACTGGAAGTGTTAGCCATTGCAATTCGGCAAGAAGAAGAAATAAAAGGCATCCAAATTGGAAAAGAGGAAGTAAAACTGTCCTTATTTGCAGACGACATGATATTATACATACAAAACCCTAGAGACTCCATCAAAAAGCTACTGGACTTAATACATGAATTTGGCAATGTAGCAGGATACAAAATTAACCCCAAGAAATCCGAGGCATTTCTATACACCAATAGTGAACTTTCAGAAAGAGAGATTATAAAAACAATCCCGTTTACCATCGCACCAAAAAAATTAAGCTACCTAGGAATAAACTTAACTAAAGAGGTAAAAGACCTCTACTCAGAAAACTACAGGACGTTGAAAAAAGATATAGAGGAAGACATAAACAGATGGAAGAACATACCATGTTCATGGATTGGTAGAATCAACATCATTAAAATGTCCATACTACCCAAAGCAATCTATAAATTCAACGCACTTCCCATTAAAATACCAACGGCATACTTCAGAGATCTAGAACGAACTCTCCAAAAATTCATCTGGAATAAAAAAAGACCTCGAATAGCTGCAGCAATCCTGAAAAAGACCAAAGTAGGTGGGATCTCAATACCAGATATCAAGATGTATTACAAAGCCACTGTTCTCAAAACTGCCTGGTACTGGCACAAGAATAGGCATATAGATCAATGGAATAGAATAGAGAGCCCAGAAATCGGCCCGAACCAATATGCTCAATTAATATTTGACAAAGGAGGCAAGAACATACAATGGAGCCAAGATAGTCTCTTCAATAAATGGTGCTGGGAAAATTGGACAGATATATGCAAGAAAATGAAACTAGACCACCAACTTACACCATACACAAAAATAAACTCAAAATGGATAAAGGACTTAAATGTACGACAGGAAACTATAAAAATTCTAGAAGAATCCAAAGGCAACAAAATCTCAGACATATGCCGAAGCAATTTCTTCACTGATACAGCTCCTAGGGCACTTGAAACTAAAGAGAAAATGAACAAATGGGACTACATCAAAATAAAAAGCTTCTGCACAGCAAAAGAAACCATCAACAAAACAACGAGAAAACCCACTGTGTGGGAAAACATATTTGCCAATGTCATATCCGATAAGGGCCTAATCTCCAAAATTTATAGGGAACTCATACAACTTAACAAAAGGAAGATAAACAATCCAATCAAAAAATGGGCAAAGGACCTAAATAGACACCATTCAAAAGAGGACATTCAGAAAGCCAAGAGACATATGAAAACATGCTCAAAGTCACTAATCATCCGAGAGATGCAAATCAAAACAACAATGAGGTACCATCTCACACCTGTCAGACTGGCTATCATCAACAAATCAACAAACGACAAGTGCTGGAGAGGATGTGGAGAAAAAGGAACACTTGTGCACTGCTGGTGGGAATGCAGACTGGTGCAGCCACTATGGAAGACAGTATGGAGTTTCCTTAAAAAACTGAAAATGGAACTCCCATTTGACCCTGTGATCCCACTTCTAGGAATATATCCCAAGAAACCAGAAACACCAATCAGAAAGGATATATGCACCCCTATGTTCATAGCAGCACAATTCACCATAGCTAAGATCTGGAAACAGCCTAAGTGCCCATCAGTAGATGAATGGATTAGAAAACTGTGGTACATCTACACGATGGAATACTATGCTGCTCTAAAAAGGAAGGAACTCTTACCATTTGCAACGTCATGGATGGAACTGGAGAGCATTATGCTAAGTGAAATAAGCCAGTCAATGAAGGAAAAATACCACATGATCTCACTCATTCATGGATAATAGAGACCATTATAAACTTTTGAACAATAATAGATACAGAGGCAGAGCTGCCTCAAACAGATTGTCAAACTGCAGCAGGAAGGCCGGGGAGGGTTGCGGGGCAGGAGGTAGGGGGGTAAGAGATCAACTAAAGGACTTGTATGCATGCATAGAAGTATAACCAGTGGACATAAGACATGGGGGGATAGGGGAGGCTAGGGGACTGTCTAGGGCGGGGGGATAAAATGGACACATATGTAATACCCTTTGTAATACTTTAAGCAATAAAAAAAAAAAAAAGAAAGGAGGATTTTCTCAAACAGCTTGCAAAAAAACTCCCAAGTTTCAACTCCCTTCACCACTACATTTCAATTTACTAATTCCTTTTTCTAAATAGAGAAGACCCCCTTTCAAATTCTGTTTCAGTGGACTCCTACTCTATAAAGCAGATTAAAACAAAACTGCTGCCAAGTGGTATGGCTCTGTGGTTGAACATCGACCTATAAACCAGAAGGTCAGGGCACATGCCTGGGATGCAGACGATTCAATCCCCAGTAGGGGGCATGTAGGAGGCAGCCAACCAATAATTCTCTCTCATCATTGATGTTTCTATCCCTCTGTCCCTCTCCCTTCTTCTCTCTGAAATCAATAAAAACTTAGTTTTTTAAAAAGCTACACAAATGGCCAAAAAGCACAGGTAAACATTATCAACATCAGCAGTCGCTAAAGCAATGCAAATAAAGCCATAAGGTAGCACCACTTCATATCCACTAGGATGGCTACAATCAAAAAGTCAGGCAATAACAAATGCTGGTGAGAATGTAGAGAAACCAGAACCCTCACACAATGCTAGTTGGGATGTAAAATGATGCTGCGGCTTTGGAAAACAGTCTGGCAAGTCCTCAAATCACTAAACATGGAGTTACCATAGAGCCCATCAATTTTGCTCCTAGGTATATGCCCAAGAGAAACGAAAACGTATGTCCCCACATAAAAACTTGTACACAAATATTTATAGTAGTATTATCCATAACAACCAGGAAGTGGAAACAACCCAAATGTTCACCAATGGATTAATGGATAAGCTAAGTGTGGTACAGCCATACAATGGAATACTACTCAGTCACAAAAAGAAATGAAGTACTGATTAATGCCACGGGATGAGCATTGAAATCATTATGCTAAGTAAAAAAAGCCAGTCACAAATGACCACATACTTATATGATTCTTCTTATAAGAAATGTCCATAATAGGCAAATCTATAGAGACAGAGAGTAGATTACTGGTTCCTTGGGGGTAAGGGGATATAGATAAAGGGTATATCTACTTTTGAGATGATGAAAATGTTGTAAAATTCACTGTGGTGATGGCTGCA